CTGAACCAAAATTGGCCAGTCCGCCCCTGCAGTTATATGAAAACATCACTGCGCAGGAAACGGGTCGAATGCGAATGATACCGTGGTAGGTGTATGGTTATCCCGAACGGTTCATTAACAATATCCCGAAATATGCTTCGAGCTGTCGAGGGGGGGTTGAAATGTCACATCAAGAAATGTGTATATATCATGTCAGGTACGACTCGTACATGCAAGCTCGTTTAACATATTATATTATATATTATAACAATTATTATTCCCTTTTGAATTATCCGATATATTCGTTTTACCCGTGTAACTATGAGCCCTATGCAGGCGACTTTCAAAAAGTAAATTCATATTATTTTTTATTTTCCCAATTATGTTAATTTTGAATTTTCATATTAAACAGAAAAAAAATTTTGTTTATTACGAATTTCCGGTTTGTATTATGATATTATTATAAGTTCACAGAATATGGAAAATATTATCAGAAAAAAAACAAGATATATTTACAAAGAACTTTGTATTTATGTTTATAGATAAAAACTAATATATTGTGTATTAATTACAAAATTATTGTTATTTGCATAATTATTTATTGATCACGACTCGAAAATAATATTTTTAAAAACGTTGATAACGAGTTAATTAACTTAACGTTTTAACTCAATTTTAACTTTTGACTCGTTAAAGCCCAGCCTTGCTATAAACCAGGTAGCACCCCGGGCCCTTATTCGTATTTATAAGACAGGCCCCGATCAACATTTTCAGGCCCATTTTTTTAAATTGTATATTATTTATTAGGTTAGAAGAGAAACACGAAATAGCAATTTCAACAGTTTGGTACTTAAAAGAGCTTACAACTGTCCACCTGAAATAAGTGCAGCGAAAAAATCTGATTTGCTAGACTTGTGTAAGCAAAATTTAATACCCCAACTATATCATAGTTATTTCAACAGTATTATTTAAATTTTAAACATGGCATTTTATGACTTTTTGTATTGTACAAATTATTTATATTAATTATTTATTTTTATTTTCTACTTATTTTCTACTTACGACTTATGACTTAAATTGATGTATTTTTAAGCTTACGAAATATTAAATAAAATATGATATTGTAACGCAACAATCATATTATAAAGTAATAGTACGTGTTCTCTTAGTTATTACAAATAGACCCAACTCAAAGGTTATGATAAAAAAAATAAAAAGTAAAATAGACATAACTGATTTAAATATTAGACCCAAAACTTTTTTTAAATTTGTAGAATACATGTTTGATAGAGAATATGAATTTGAATCTATTGGTGTAAATACCAAGTATGTAGAATGAGAACTTTAATTTTCATGTTAATTTTAATTTTTAGGCATTATGATTTTTACCCGTACTGTATGATTATTATATTTGAGTTGTGTCGTTCTTCTTCTGGGTGTGCGGTATATTATAACAATTATTTCCTTTTGAATATAATGCGATATATTCGTTTTACCCGTGTAACCATCAGCCCGCTGCAGGCGACTTTCAAAAAGTGTGGTGGCAGACGGCTTACAAATTATTATTATTATTATAAACCTTTGTCGTTGCGATTAACAATATTCCCCTTGAATATACGTGCCCGGCACACGTATAATAAGTTATGTAGGTACCAAATGGTTTGTCGAAACGTGGAAATAACGATTAGAGCGAGAAACACAATTTGTATTTTTGTTATTAGTTAAAAAACTAACGGTTAAAGTTTTAAAATAAGAAAAAAGTTTCCAGACGGTTCATTTAAAGTTGAGCGTATATTAGTGAAGAGTGCAATTTCGATATTAAAACGATACATAAAATATCGTCAAATGTTGTAGGTACCTACCCCTATATGGGTACTGCAGTATACCACGCGGTCGTCGACCTTTTCCATCAAGCCAGATGCTTTTAACATTTTTGGTGATCGACCACTATTTTCTTTGGGTGATTACGACCAGAAGTGGTCAATTCAACGGAAGTAATGGTCTGCAGTGTTTTTACCGTACCTACAGTGGCGTAGCCAAGGGGGGGGGGGGGTTGGGTGTTTAAACACCCCCCATTGAAATTTTATAATAAATATATTGTTTATATTGTTCGGGACTGCTTGCATGTTTTTTTGTAGTGGTCGTGGATTATTTTAGATAAGTTATAAATTTGTCTTGAGAAATTTTTTATGTCTTATCAAACAAAATTTGCATATTTTAGGAAAAGTGTACATTTGAGCGATTTTTCGCATATTTTGCGTTTTTTTTAACTTAAATGTACATACAATTGTCGGGAAAAATCATATTTGGATAACATTGAAAAATATCTTTAAAAATATTATATGTTTGGTTAGGTACAATATAGGCGCTAATTTTGAGGTTTGGGGAGGCCGTAGCCTAAAACCGTACTATTATAAAATTGAATAAGCTTAAAAAATGTAATTAAATGTTTTGGAGGGCTGTTGCTATTGTTAAAGTTGCTGGTGGAACTTGGCTACGGTTGGCCCTATTTTCGCATATGGTACGTAACATAAGTCTATATAATATAAGTCTCTTTATGACAAGACTGTGTTAATATACTATAATTGGCATACAGATTTTAGATTGTACGAAGAAATGAAAATCAGTAGACACGCGTTCGTTTATTAAGGTGTTCTCATATCGCGTTATTGGTTATTACTTATTTATTTAACCTATAGTACCAAAATTGTAGTATGTTTTATGCATTTTCCAAAAATAATATAAAAATGTAGCTGCATATATTTAAGCATATTTCGATAATTTTTAGTGCAACAAGTCAACATTGATTTATATTCGTAAACTGTGAAAACTTGGTTTTAATCTATACTTAAACACCCCTCATTTCATAACCCTGGCTACGCCACTGCGTACCTATACTATATATCAGGGGTGGCCAACATGACTATCTACGTGAGCCACATGTATTAATAAAATTTTATCAAGAGCCAAATTATCTAACGTATACTTCTATACCACAAAAGTAATAAAGATAGCAAACAGCCGATAAACATATCAAATTACGAAATATGAAATTATATAGTTATATATAGATATTAATTGATAGCTTTTGGGCTGGGTACAATTTTTTTTTCCTAACCGATTTGCTTAAAGCTCTGCGTTTACTTCCAGTGAAACGCAAATCAACAATATAAATAAAAAGTAAATTAATTTCCTAACAAAATGTGCTACCTACTACATATTTTTCCACTGCACTATACCCTAAAACATATCTATGATTCCTCGATTTTCCAAGCACAGTAAAAATATCCAGTAACATGCTTGATATAATATATACAAATTAAAAGTGTGTTTAATATATTACCAACAATTAATTTTTAATACAGTCCCTAAAATTGTTTGTAGTACGACACACTTTGTGTAGTACGAAATTCAAAAGTGTGTTAGTCTAATTAAACCTTTAAAATAGTTTTATATATTCACATTTTTTTTATATTTTAATGGTTTTTTGACAAACCATATTATTATTATTACTACTTACTTCATTTACCTATAAACTGATACACAAAATTTTTTAACGCATAAAAAAGAAAATTTTAAGGTTGAAGAATATTTTGTGTAAAAAATATGTTTTAGGAATATATTGCCATATTGGGTTCAAATTTGAATATTTTATAAAAATCTAATAGATAATAAAATTTTTTTTTATTTTTATTACTTAAAACTTGTTATTATTATTATTTTTTGAGTTCATAAGGCTGAATTATTTAAGTTGGAGTTATTTTAATATATAATATTATTCTGTTAATGAACTAGGTATATGCAATTATTTTTTATTTTTTGAATTCATAAGTTTGTGTTACAACAGTTAAATACTTAAATATAGATACACCATATTATAGATTAAATATAACTGTTTATTTTTATAAACTGCAATTTTTATTTGTTTTTCAGTGTTTTATACATTTTTTATGAAAAGAAATATTTTTTCATAAAAGAATATTTTTGCATATAAAAGATTATTTTGACGAAATTATAGAGCATAGAAGCATCTTATTTTCAAGATTTTAAGTGCACATAAATCCGGTCTCTAATTATTACTATTATATTATTAATTATTATTTACTACACAGACACGCAGTAAACAATATTTTGTGTTGTTACGTCTTATATACTATATAGTTATTATTATTATTCATTGTTATTAAGAGTAGCTATTTTTATTATTATCAGCTTAGTAGTGAACGGAATAATTTAGATTTGACAGATTTGAGACTAAGTATGTATGGGTAGTACGAACATTTGGATATTTTAGGGACTGTTTTAATATGATCCACCAATTTTACTCTAAAAATCAACTGTTTGGCAACCTCTGCCAGTCTACTGTATATTATAAAGTATGTCGGATAACGCTCATCACGCGTTATAATTAAATGTAATAATCCTGAAATTTTATTTGATAAAAAAAAACTCTACTCTGAAGTCATATAATATTATAATTAGAACTCGGGCGATGCTTTCCAGGATACAAAATACGTGTTTCAAGTACACGCGATGTGCTAATAACGAACTGTATTTGGGGCATGCTTTTCGAGGTTTTTGACGTTCAAGTGCATTTTTAAACGTTTTAAGTGCATTATTTATTTTTTAAGGTAATTTTTAAGGTATAATAAATTTCTAGAAGTATTTCGAAAAAAAATTAAATTGTATTAAAACAACACAATAGGCAATACAACGATTTACAAATTTCTGAAGAAATCCCTGATCGATTCCGGATGAATTTTTATAGGACATTTTTTTTTAGAGTTGTTAGTTCTCAAATTCACTTTTTGAAAGGCCGTTTAAATCCGAGCCCTATTTACAGTATTGAACCGTTTTCAGTCTATTGAGGGTACCATGAAATATTATAATACCTAATCAACACCAGAAAGGATAATAATATTTTGTATTATTTCGTCCATTTATTTAAAACATGATTGATCGTCACTGTTTATGTGTATTTTGTTTTACCATAATATTTTACTTGCAATGACGTGCTTTACCTGTTTGTTGTTACGGGCCATTAACAGCAGATCACGTTGTAGCGAAGGCAGGTGAGTCCTTAAAAACGGCAGTACGAATGGTCGTAGCGGGAAGTTTGTCATTTCTTGTATATTGTGATGAAATTCTTCAACACTTATCAAATTGTTCTGTGGACCAACGAGTGAATACATAAATAAATTATAAATTATGTTTCGATCGCATTAATTATATTATTATCAATTAAACGAATAGGGTCTACCGGTTGACTAAACAGCTTATTATTTAAAAAAGCATAAATGTTTTTGAACAATTTTTTTCACATGGTTTCTAAAAATTTTTTATCCTTAACATTTTTAAGTGTTTTAATTTTTTTAATCACATTGTTATTCGGTTTTAATTTCATATTTCTTTCTTTCTTCGATACATACAAATACAATTTAGAACGAGTAATTAAAGTAAGTAAGTATTTAAAATTATAACTCATAAACTAATCATCCTAAATTCGATTTTTATGTACCAAAATACTCAGAAATATATTCTGCTTTCGAAATCAAAACTGTACTTTGTATTTCATAAATGTAAACGTCTTAAAAGTTGATAAGAATAAAAAATATTAAAGGTATTATTATTTTTAATAAAAACGTTATTTTGTATAAAGACACTTGAAAGTTGAAACTATGTAAAAAAAATATTTTCAAAAACATAAATACTTTTTGAATAAATTATTGTCCCACGTGAAATGAATCATCCGGTATATATAGGCCAAAGTGCTGTTCCGAGCGTTGTATTTAAGACAAATTGAGTTATAAAATGAATTGATTTCCCGACTCACTACATCCTTAAATTTCCATTGATAATATTAACAACTAAAAATAAAAATCACAATAAATCTACCTATCTCGTTATTAAATAATATTTTTGTATCAGATATATACTACACAGTACACACAATATAATGAATAAATAAATAAATGAAAATAATATCGACATTTAAAGGTCGAGTCAATATATTATAGGAACGCGATTATTATTATACAGCGCAACAAGAATCAAAAAAAAGCGGGTAAGTGGATGTCGCTCTGCTGCTTAGTAGGTTACAAGTTGGTAACTGTACAATGGGTTGTCTTAAATTTGAATTCAGTGATATCATATCATTGTATACGAAAATGTGAGTGCCTTTGTACTCACGAATGATGTGTAAACATCTTAGCTGTAGTATGACTTTGATTGGGGAATATAATGTCATGGTTTGAGTGGGAATTTGTATAATACATATTATACGATACAAACACGGTTTCGCGCGTATACGTAAACGAGAATAATAAATAATATTAATAATAATCAGGGCTCGGATTTCAATGCATTTGCATCTTTTTTTTGGGATATCTTACGCGATGCTTTCCAAGCTACAAATGTGTTTCAAGTACTTCGCAATCTAACCATAATAATATTTTGGGGCATTTTTTGACGGTTTTAATGCATTTTTAATTTTTTAGGACATTTTTGACCTATTTGTCGTATTATGACTAAAAAAATTGACCTCATTGAAATATAAAAATATAAAATTTGACAACTTTTAAAATAAAAATAAAGGCTTTAACCAAATAAAAAAAATATGTCAAATATTAGAAGGAGAAGAAGATATTAATCCAGAAAATATTATTCCAAAAGACTTAACACCTAACGATCTGACATTTTTCAAGTTTGCTCCTATCACCTCAGTTGATGTAGAGAGGTCATTTTCAATATATAAAAACTTATTGGCAGACAACCGTCGATCATTAAAATTCCAAAACATTAAAGAAATTCTTATTGTACAATGCAATGCAAATATAATTTAATTTTTAATTTTAATTTTTTTTTGTACATTGTAATATAATTTATTAATTTATAATTTATAATTTTTATTAGAATTTTATTTGTTCCTCATTTTTTAATACTAATTAAATTTGAATTTATTAAATAAATAATGCATTTTTTGAAACGTCATTTTTTGATATTTTTAGGGCATTTTTTAGAGTTTTTAGGTTATAAATACATTTTTTGAAAGGGCATTTTTTGATATTTTTAGGGCATTTAAATCCGAGCCCTAATAATAATAATTAGGGCTGGGATTTTAAAGCCCTAAAAATTCCCGAAAAATGTCCTAAAAAAATGCTTTTATGACCTAAAAACTCTAAATAATGCCCTAAAAAACACCGAAAAATACCCTAAAAAAAATGCTTTTATGATCTAAACATTTTTTTTTTAATAATTTTAGTATAAATTACAAAAAAAAATTTAAAAAAAATGCATTACAAAAATCTATAACAAGTGTAAGCTGTCAATGCATAGTTTTAGTAAAAAAATTAACTAGAAACGGTGTTAACGACGACAAAACTCGTACTGAACGTCGAACGATATCATCGGACCGATTTAAGATTATTTAACAGGAAATGCGGGTAGAGGTTACTCAAACCTTGTCCGATAATATAATACGAATTACGAATACCTACTTATAATCTGTTATATTTATTTAAAAACCATGTTGGTGTAAAAATCTTAAAATAAAATTTCAAATTCATACTTGGTTTCCAAAAACTCAAAAAATGCTCCAAAAACTCTAAAATGCCCTAAAAAATTAAGAAAATGACCTAAAAACTAAAAAATGCAAAAAAATGCAAAATAAACTTTCTTATTCTCATTCAAATGTACATGAAACAAATTTGTGACAAGACGAGCATTGCACAGTAAGCTTAGGAAAACAATGCAATGTGCATCGAAATCCCAGCCCTAATAATAATGAATCGGCCAACGACTGTACCAGGGCGCGTTCGCACCTACCAGACTCGTGAAAATAACAAAGAAAATAATAGATAAGCAACTCGCCTGGTTTATTGGTTCTGCGATTTTAGCGCTTTGACGACAACACACACACACACACACACACACACACACACTCAAGCAGTCACATCTACATGACTTACGCCTGACGCTCGATTCCCCAAGAAGGTCGTACTACAAACCGATAGCATAGATGTTTACACATCAACAAGTGTTGACTAAAAATCTGAGTACATTGTTTTTTAAATTATCTTAGATTATTTTTTTTTCCATAGACTTTATGAATTTATAGAACAACGAGATAGATAAATGTAGTATTCGTTGGGGTACTTACCACTAGGGTGAATATCTGACCCTTAACTCGTTCACTAGTCTGCGGCGATATCTGTCCACTGAACTGCACCAGGGTGGTAAGAAACCTTTTGAGTTTTGAGTGATTTCTGAACGTGTCGGACGGAGGACTCGAACCTATAAGTGGACGATAGAATAAAACGTTTACCTATATGTACAGTTATTGATGACCTTTTGGCTTTTTGATTCGTTCACACAATTAGCAGCTAGAAAAAAAATATTGTACGGTATGGTTCAACTGCCATGGTCATCCCCTTTTCGTCCCACGATATTTCAAAATTCCTTTTTTAAAATCAATTTTTGGTTTTTAAAAAATATACTTAAAGACCATATATTTCAGTATTTTCAAACTCATGAGATTTTTCGTACTACTCAAGTACAAGGTTCTCATTTGAAAAACTGCAGTTCGCTTCAAGACACTTCTTAAGTAGTAGGTACTTACATCAAATCTCAAGAATTTGAAAATATGGCACCATAAAATTGAAAATTCTAAAAATCGGAACTTGAATATATTCATTACCTATCAAAACTGCGGTTCTCAAAATGTGTATGTCTGCGTACCACCTACATAGTTTAAACATTTTCATGTACCACTTGACAAATAAAAAACATTTTTTTTTTTTTTGCTTATCAAAAATGATGTCTCCTACCTTATTTTACATGTATGGAATTTTATTTTAATAGAAACTTCAACATTATAAGCATTTAATGCACAAAAATAAAATGAAATATGTTCAATTATTATTTATATTATTATTAATATCAAACAAACCAACTAATATATTTTAATGTGAATCCATTCCAATTTTTTTTTTAAGGGCGATTTTCTTCGCTTACCACCTATATGAGCTTTCTGTGTACCACTAGTGGTACACATACCACAGTTTGAGAAACGTCGCATTAAAAGTAGAAATGGGGATGAACAAGCTTGGTAAATCACCATCTCTCACCATGTTCAATAGGAAATGTTATATTTTTTTGACTTCGAACAGAGCTTGTACGTATTGGCAATTAGATCTCAACTCAAGTACCTACTTATAATATCACAAACCGATATTGATCATTTACATAATTTTGTGAGAATCATTTTTGTAACAGTAAATGCCATAAAATATGGATAGCAACCCCTATTAATGTGAACTGCAGTGGAGAACCGAGAAAATTATTTATGAAAATTAAACATGAATAACTACCCCACTCTCCACACACGATAAGTCACGTCAAAAAGGTTAATATTATATTTTATTTAATAAATTGATTACATCCATAAAACAGTACATACAAAAACGCTTTAATATGAAATTATAATAATAATTATACATATAGTTATAGTTATAAATCAACTTCGCGTACTGTGTACTTGAAAAACTTTATTTTTATTAAAAAAATCTAATTTTTAGCTTATTTCCTTATTGTAGTGAACACTATGTTTATTATATGTTATATTTTATTTTAGCAAAGAATAGAAGTTAGTGTGTATATTACTTAAGAAATTCGTTTTAAATTAAGTTTTGAGGTGTGGGCTGATATATTGCAAAGCCCCCACGTCCCCCCTACATTGCCTAAACTACTACATTTCAACAGCATAATATTATTATTCGTTACTATATGTCAGTGAATGCATATTTTATATTCACTCAGTTTTTCCCAATTTATACATTTCCATAATATGGTCTCTTGAAAAAGAAATTTTAAAATTTTTTAAATTCCTATTTAGGAAAAGGTTGCTGCAGGAAATAATAAAAATAATAATAATTATCCGTGATGAAGTATTCTAGTTTGCAGTTCGGAGGCATTTCAACACTAGTCCACATATTGTATATTTGTTAATACAATAATTTATTGTACATTTCTGTGCACTACTGCACTAAGCAAAGAACAATAGTGATATAATAGGGAAGGAATACAAACAACAAACTACTTAAAAAAATAGGAAAGTATTACTCGTGTTAGTATAGGTAATCCAACCCAAAAGAAAATTGATAAACTACAATCCTATCAAAAATTATTTCGGGGTGAGTAACAAAATATATAAAAATAGCAGGAGGAAGTCCGTCCCCTGCGCACCCCCTCCACCAGTTCTAGCACTGGATATGAGAGATGACAGACAAAGTCCACTATCTACTACACCGAAATCTACACACTAAAATCTATCTAATACCTATAGGTACAGAAAAAAGTCGATTCAAAAAAATTAAAATTTTACAAAATGGCTGGTATCAAAACAAATTTTAAAATTTCAACAAAATAATATTAATTTACCGTCCCACAAGTCAAGATTCAATAATATACGTACTTTCAGATTCGACGTCGATTCGAGTTGGTAACGGGTGAGTGGGGCTCAGCAAGTGTTCGCCCGACGAATCGCTAGTGGACGTCGACGAAAAACCAGCGTCTTTGGATTTGATTTTTGATTTACCTAAACGAAAAGGAATCGATACAAAAATTAAAATAGTTAAATTATATCATTATGTTTTTACATTAAAATTTAATAATATCATTATATCGATAGTAGTTATCTCTTTTATCTTCAATTTGCAGCAGTGTAAAGCAAATTGTTGAACTAATAAATAATACAATTTCAACATTTATACTTCTGTACCGCAGACGTCGAGTAACGCAAGTCACAAAAAACAAATTTTACAGGAGAGAAAAAAACAAAAATATTTGTTGCAATGGACTTACAATTACATACTTAAAAAATATTATTTTGTATTACTTTTCCTATGTAAACGCTGGACATACGTTTCTATACTCCTATCTTAGCTTAGAACTTAGGTAAGTTACTATACTTCTTGCTATCTATGCATTTATTGCATATAGGACTTACGTTTTAATACTTTTAAAAACATCGCAAAAAGCATATTCTGAATATGTATGACTAACTCAAAATTTCAAAAAATGGACTTGCGTAATTAGATTTCTGTGGTACAGATTAATTATTAATTTGAATAAGTACTAATTGTAGGTGATATTTAAAACAATTTAAAAATAGTTCAACAATATTTTCGATATTTTAGACACGATATCGATATCGTACAACTTACGATGTACAATAATATCGCCAAAACTGGAACAATACACAAAATCATATCGTCGGCCATCACTATATCTACATCATATTATTATCAATATTCAACGCGTTCCACATGTGCACATAATAATATTATACTGTCGTAACTGTCTCGATGTATAAGTGAGCGCATATTCGAACATACAATAATATACAGAGTGATGTATAATATACAGAGCGATTATTCGGCCCTAATGACGTGAAATTTAATCGAACAAACAAATAAATAAATATTCGTTCGCGCCGTTCGTATAATATTATTATCAGGTACGACCCATAATACCGTTTATTTCAATTTTTTAGCTTTTTTAAGCACCGCTGCTGCCCTAGCCCCTCACACAAAAGCCGCCGCTCGCGATCGCTTATATACATCATACATGTGTGTGTGTGTGGGTGAGCTCGTATAATACATAAATACACACATATATGTGTGTGTGTGTGTGTGTGCCAGCCATACCAAAAGCCACGCCGGCTTTGCCCGCCCAGTACGTGTCCGGGGGTTCGTGTAATAGTACTTAAGTGATAAAAATAAAATAAAATGCAAGAGTCAAATAAAAAAGGTTAAATCCGTTATTAACTGAAATTCGGTATTTTTAAAAACCAAAACCAGAACCTAATCCGAAATTTTTGGTTTTTGAGACCAGAAACCTAAACCCAAACCGATAAAATCATAAAGGTTCCAGTCCCTGCTAGAGTACCTCTCTGTATAAGTGAGCGCATGTTCGAACATATTATCATTACACAAAGCGCTGACCCCCCTTTTTCCCCCAATCATAATCCGGCCTTACAGATATGGAATTAAATCGAACCAACAAATAAATAAATATTCGTTCGCGCCGTTCGTATAATATTATTATCAGGTACGACCCATAACACCTTTTATTTCATTTTTTAATTTTTTTAAGCACCGCTGCCCTATTGCCCCTCACACAAAAGCCACAGCTCTCGATCGGTTATATACATCTTATATGTGTGTGTATGTCCAGCCATATCAAAAGCCACGGCTTCTTTGCCCTCCCAGTACGTGTCCGAGTGTTCGTGTAATAGTAGATACTTAAGCGATTAAAATAAAATAAAGAGTCAAATAAAAAGGGTTAAAACTGGTATTAACTGAAATTTGGTATTTTTAAAAACCGAAAACAGAACCTAATCGGAAATTTTTGGTTTTCGAGACCAGAAACCTAAACCCAAACCGATAAAATCATAAAGGTCCCTGCTCGTAACTGCAGTAACTCGCTGTATAAGTGAGCGCATGTTCGAACATATTATCATTATACAAAGCGCTGGCCCCTTTTTTTCCCCCAATCATTAACCGGCCGTAAAGACGTGGAATTAAATCGAACCAAAAAATAAATAAATATTCGTTCGCGCCGTTCGCGCCGTTCGTATAATATTATTATCAGGTACGACCCATAATACCGTTTATTTCATTTTTTTAACTTTTTTAAGCACCGCTGCCCTATTGCCCCGCACACAAAAGCCGCGATCGCTTATATACATCCTAAATGTGTGTGTGTGTGGGTGAGCTCGAATAATACATAAATACACACATATATGTGTGTGTGTGTGGGTGAGCTCGTATAATACATAAATACACACATATATGTGTGTGTGTGTGTGTGTGCCAGCCATACCAAAAGCCACGCCGGCTTTGCCCGCCCAGTACGTGTCCGGGGGTTCATGTAATAGTACTTAAGTGATAAAAATAAAATGAAATGCAAGAGTCAAATAAAAAAGGTTAAAACCGTTATTAACTGAAATTAGGTATTTTTAAAAACCAAAACCAGAACCTAATCAGAAATTTTTGGTTTTTGAGACCAGAAACCTAAACCCAAACCGATAAAATCATAAAGGTTCCAGTTCCTGCTCGTAACTACAGTAACTCGCTGTATAAGTGAGCTCATGTTCGAACATATTATCATTACACAAAGCGGCAGTGAAAGCGCTGACCCCCATTTCCCCCCCCCAATCATTATCCGGTCGTAAAGACGTGGAATGAAATCAAACCAACAAATAAATAAATATTCGTTCGCGCCGTTCGTATAATATTATTATCAGGTACGACCCATAATATTGTTTATTTCATTTTTTAAACTTTTTTAAGCACCGCTGCCCTATTGCCCCGCACACAAAAGCCGCGATCGCTTATATACATCATACATGTGTGTGTGTGTGTGTGTGGGTGAGCTCGTATAATACATAAATACACACATATATGTGTGTGTGTGTGTGTGCCAGCCATACCAAAAGCCACGCCGGCTTTGCCCGCCCAGTACGTGTCCGAGTGTTCGTGACACGTCCATTAGCGGAATTCTGTTGTGTCATACACATAAACACACCGCCGCCGCCGTCGTTTCTGCGAGTTATTAGTTTCGGCTGCAACTCCTGCGGTTGATGTGCTGTGCAGCGACGGCGACGACGACGACGGGTAGGGGTTGGTGGAGGGTGCGGTGGGTGTGTGTGTGTGTGCGGGTGTCGGAGGTGGTGGAGGCGGCGGTTGTGACGTGGGTTTTGCGCGCGCGGTAAAGGAGAAAATATACGTCGGTGCGGGGTTGGTGGGTGGGTGGGTGACGTGCACGTTCGCCCCGAAGAACTTTTCGGGGCCCCGAGCCCGCGGGCTTCGAGTGGGCCAAGCGGTATTTGGTTGCGTATTCCGGCGAGATACGCGTGCGACGTTTCGCCGGTTTAAGATATATTGTTATTACATAACATTATTGTAATATAATAATAATATTTTTGTATAAAATATCGTAAGGCGCACTAACAAAACACACAAAAACGATAAAGTGTTGTGAAATATCGAGTGTAAATAGAGAGGTGAATTCGCTTCCTATCTGCGCAACCCAGACGGCTCCGATATATTGGACAAGAAAAATCCCTTGTAATTTACAAATTGTTCTGTAAAATTTTAAAAAATACCAATTTAAATATTTTCGGGGCCCCGAGCCCGCGGGCTTCGAGTGGGCCAAGCGGTATTCGGTTGCGTATTCCGGCGAGATACGCGTGCGACGTTTCGCCGGTTTAAGATATATTGTTATTACATAACATTATTGTAATATAATAATAATATTTTTGTATTAATCGTAAGATGCACTAACAAAACACACAAAAACGATATAGTGTTGTGAAATATCGAGTGTAAATAGAGAGGCGAATTCGCTTCCTATCTGCGCAACCTAGACGGCTCCGGTATATTGGACAAGAAAAATTCCTTGTAATTTACAAATTGTACTGTAAAATTTTAAAATTTAAATATTTTCGGGACCACGAGCCCACGAACTGCGAGTACGCTTTTTGGTGTTATAATACTCTGACGCAACACTCTCGACGTTTCCTCTAAATATAACAATACATTTTGTGAGTCCTGGAAATTTACCAATTAAATGTTTACCATAAATTTTACCAATTTATTTTCACCGGCAACTTATTTTTTACCAAAAAAATGTGTGTGTCTCCTCTAATCAAACGAGTAGTTAAGAGGATATCAGCGCACTGTTTGATTTCTTTCTCTGGCAAACACCCAACATACAATAACCGTATTCATATTTTTTGCATGTATTTGGGTAATCTCAGAGTAAAATCACTCATTACAAAAATTATAAATAGTAATATTTTTGAGGGCAGACATATTGATTTGTCGAAGTATTGTCTCTCGAAAAAGTTTAAATTTATCACATGTACAAAAATGTAGGGTAAAAAATTAGTTGTATCGAATGCAAGGATGCCACATTCAATAATATTTTTCATTTTGCCTCCAAAAATATGTGTTTGTATTGAATTAATCAATTTTTAGATAATTTTTAATGGATCAGAGACAAATTTAATTTTGGCAGTTTATGAGTTATTTTATTTATCAAATTGATAGCCGGATTCAAAATTTAAGACTGTCTTATTTCGATTGGTCGTGTTCTTGCACCAAAATATAAATACTAATTTACTTCTGATAATAATATTTTGAGTGGAAAACAACAATACTTAGTGTTGTGGTGGTATTGCATTTCATAATTTGTCGTATTGTAGCCTTAATCTGAAAAACGTCAGTCTTGTATTTTCAAATAGAAATTGTTTACCTTCAAGCCTCAAAATATAGAGGTCACAATACCGCATTGACATAAAAAGTCGTAAGCCTAACTTTTTGGCTTTAAGAGAGTGTTTCTTAATATTCAATAACGTCAGAATCTAAAGTATTTGTTTTTACTTTGTTAGCATTTCCATTTTTAGTTTCGAATGCACAGGTAAACTAAATTGGCAACTAAATAGGTAAAGAACTCTTTAAAACTAGGTACCTACGTATCTTTGCAGTTTCAAACTTCCAATCGCTTTTTCTCAAAACTATAATATAAATT